TACAATGTCTAGAAATTTGAATCCCTAACTTAATATTTGTTGCTGTGAAACAGCTCTAATGAACACTAAATATTGATTTCAATTAGCTGGATTGTAGATACTTGCAGATTGAATGCATTTTTAGGGAAACAAATATGTAGAATTTTGTTCAGTCTTCTGCTAAGTATGTCAAATTACCTGCACACATTGGTTTTGTAAAGCCATTTAATCAGAACCTAGAATTGCAGTTCTTAAGGCAGGATCCATGCATTCTTAGAACTTTTAAAGAACCCAGATCTCTCATGGGATTTTTATTAGTTTTAAAGTTAATAAAGTCAGCTAAATCCACCTGTCACTTGTTTTGTCACTAGTAACTTAAAAATCTGTAAATCTCTGTAGAAACTGACACAAATTATGTGATTACCTTGTTTTGCTTTGATCATAGATTCCCTCTTTATAAATTACCAACAGTCCATCACTGATTGAAAATATTTTCTATAGTTAAGATTTGCTGCATAATATAGTATATAGAATTAAATTAATGTACTAACATTTCTCCTTTGGAGGAAGTTTTAATCCACTTCGGGACAAGTTCCTTATCAAAATACTTTGACACACAATATAGTATAGTTTATTTAAAATGTGTTGAAGAGAGGCTCAAGAACATCAAGACAGTATTACTGTCACAACCTGGAAGAGATGTTCCTGTGGGATCATATATGAACATGTCAATAAGCTTGCATTAAGCCACCTGCTTTGTAAGTGGATTGAATAATAAATACCTTCCGTTTCCCTTGTGTCTTTCATAATCAGTTAAGTGTAAAACAGTTTACAGTAAAACACAAATCAAAATGTTTTGTTTACACCTAACAAATTGTGATCCATTTATAAGTGTAACCTTATCTAATTTGATGCCTGTTTGGTTAAAAGCAGCTTCCCCCCCCCCTTTTTTTTTAATCGTTTCATGTCAGGAGTAGCATTTTCCAATGCAATGTCCATTGCTGGCAATAGACTTAATACCTCTGGCACTAAGGCATTAAGCAGGGAGAAGTTTTGTCCTAACAGTTGTGATTAATGGACATTTTAAAGCTTACTTGCATTGTTAAAAGTAAACTTAATTTGAAGACTTGAATCACTTTTGTGTTTAATTTGGTGGCGTGGGGTGAGGGGGATGAGGGAGAAAGCTAATGTGATTTGGCTGCTCCAAACTGTCATGGTTTTAAACTGAAGCTTCTTAGCGTATGTAGCTATAAGGACCTGTGGCTGGGTATGAAATTGAAGCTGTAGTGGATAAAATTAACTGGAAAGACAAAAAAGGAACCCTTTTCAACTCTTCAGTGCATATGAAGAAAAAAGGAGGGGAGGTAGCTTTCCAGGGGTGCACCCCAACTGATAGTTGAAGGTGGGAGGACACTCACTTTTAAAGTTACATCATAGGTACTTAGAGACATGGAAATAATTGAGACCCAGGGTGCACAATGAGTCCACTTTGGCATACCTTCCAGGGACAAAGAAGCACAGACTTTTTTTTAAAAATGCACCAGATTTCGGTGTCTGGTACTTAGAGGTATTTTAGTGGCCCATGAGTTGACCTATTTTATAACTGCTACTGATACTGTCTTGCTTTTAAATGTATACATAACATATTATAAAGTGATGTTTAACAGTTATGTGTCAGGAATCTCAGTTCCTGTTATGTGCTAATGCAGGGGCTAATAAACCTGCAGCCTACTCCTATTCCAGAAAGTTGTGACCTGATATAATTTAGGGAAAGGAAAATTAATGGGTTTTTGAAAATTTCCACCACTTACTGTGCTTTACTTGCTTAGATGCATTGCCTTAAGTTTTCTGCAGCATCTTTGACTTTCAAGATAAGTCTCAACAGTATGCATCAAATTACTTTTCATATAAAATTCCATTGTCAGAACAAATCCTTTTGTATGCAATAAATAAAATGTTAGACTGATCATCTGCAGTCTGTTTTTTCATAAAAGTTGTTTTCAATTTTGCCTTCTAGTGTTTAAGCTCTTCATTTGAACAATAATTCTTTGGCATAAGCTGTTTACTTGCATCCTAACAATGGATGTGTCTGTGGGAACATCACAACCTCAGTATGAAAGGATTAAATATTTTATAAAGCTCCAGCTATATACAGAAGTCAGTATCTTAATTAAAATAGTGGATTGTTTGAAATGCTACACCCACAGCATTTGTCATTTTCTCTACAACTAAGAGAATTTATGCAAATTACTATGATTTGTTTACTTGTGTACATAAGATAACACTTTGATTTATTTTGCTGTCAAAGTGTAAATCCAGTTGTTAGTGACCATAATACTTGCATGGTATTTGAATTTTCTCCCATGATGATAGCAGCGTAAGTGACTGAACCACAAAAAAGGGTCTGGAATATGAAAGGGAATTTTCAAACACCTTCATGTTGATTGTTCTACAACAAAAAATGTGAGTGAATTGAAAAGTAGCTTCTGAAGCGGGAGTACGTGTGCTTCATGCTGATGAAAACTGAACAACTATCAAAACACCATGAAACAGTGAAAAGTAGTGGTGATGATACCATGTATTGGGTGCTTACCTTTGATGTTTTACTTTACCTTCCACTATTATTACTCTGACAGGTTTCAGAGTAGCAGCTGTGTTGGTCTGTATCCTCAAAAAGAAAAGGAGGACTTGTGGCACCTTAGAGACTAACAAATTTATTTGAGCATAGTCTCGAAGGTGCCACAAGTACTCCTATTATTACCCTGAGATACCTTGAGTTTTTTTCCTCAAGTAGGCAAAAATTTTAAATCTTTACAGCACAAATGCATTGTACCACTGAATCTGGGAAAACCTTCAGCATATGAGAACTTGCTTTCTCACCATTTTTGTATGGTGATTACTTCCATGCAAACTTGTTGAGTTGTTGCCTGCATAAATAATGCATGTACTATAACAAAGATTTGCTGTGGAACTCCATATTAAGGAAAGTAAAAAGTCCATACTTGGAGCAGCCTCAAAGGCAGACCTCCCATTATACTACTGTCCTAGTCTGACTGGGACTGACTATAAACATAAGTGACTGAAACAACAAGGAGTCCGGTGGCACCTTAAAGGCTAACAGATTTATTTGGGCATAAGCTTTCGTATGCCTGCATCTGTAATTTTCATTCCAGGCATCTGAAGAAGTGGGTTTTTTACCCACGAAAGCTTATGCCCAAATAAATCTGTTAGCCTTTAAGGTGCCACCGGACTCCTTGTTGTTTTTGTCGATACAGACTAATGCGGCTACCCCCCGGATACATAACTGACTGAAGAACTAAAGGATTTACTTTGAAACACTGGGGAACATTTACGCAAAGCTGAGTCAGAAATGTGCATGACTGGCTACATCTGAACACATAATGACATTACGTGGGATAATAGAGGGAGAAGTTTCAGAGTAGCAGCCGTGTTAGTCTGTATTTGCAAAAGGAAAAGGAGTACTTGTGGCACCTTAGAGACTAACCAATTTATTTGAGCATAAGCTTTCGTAAGCTACCACTTCATTGAGCTGTATCTCACGAAAGCTTATGCTCAAATAAATTTGTCTCTAAGGTGCCACAAGTACTCCTTCTCTTTTAGAGGGAGAAGTGTTAGAGCATATCCCATAAAATGGGACTGTCCTGATAAAGCAGGAAGAAATTGAGCCTTAAAGCAAAGAAAACAAATTGGTATGGTATGGCAAAGAATGACCTTTCTTAAGACAGTTTAAGATATATAAGATCAAATTAAGACAAATGGATAGGTTGGAAGACTTAAAATCAGATCATTACGCTCAAAGGCTGGGGCACAAACGTTTTAATTAAAAAATAAGAAACCTTGAAAGAAACAGAAGTATTAAGTGCTTGTACAGGTGAACACAATGAGAGCTAGCTGGAAGTAGTAACATTCATTATTGGATTCAGAGTAGCAGGTGTGTTAGTCTGTATCTGCAAAAAGAAAAGGAGGACTTGTGGCACCTTAGAGACTAACCAATTTATTTGAGCATAAGCTTTTGTAAGCTACAGCTCACTTCATTGGATGCATTATTGGAGTAGCATGGCCATTAGATTTCACCTTGTTGAAAAATACTGTGCTGATTTTTCAGTTCTGCTCTCAAAAGGAATAAATATTTGATGATCCTACAGTGAGTGTGGGGAATTAGAGGAACCCTAATTCATGCTGTGCTTTTTAACTTTTGCCATGGGCAGGTATATTATAGCCATGCTACCTAACCTTTCTTTGAGTCATACCCATATCAAATAGACTTTCACCTGTAATAAATCACAGGTGTTACAAGGCTTAGCTGGCTACAACAGCCTTTTGGGGTTCTCCACTGTAAAGAAATATGCACTTATGTATTATAGTCCTGCCTATTAACAATGCAGTAGAACTGTATTTTGGACTACCTCTCTGCTTGAATATTAGCCACTGCTCCTATGCAACTACAGGAATACATTAAAAGAAAAAAAAAAGTGTAGGTGGATATACGTTGCTCAACTGTTCTAAGACATTACCTTGAAGCACTTCATATTAAGGTTTCAATACCTAATTTTCCCACTGTTCCATTTTAAAAATCGAGGTTTGTAGGACAACTTCATATGCTAATGGCACAGATCTTAACCACACAATATATGTTCTATAAGCTTATGCTGGAAGATGAGCTTCTGATAAGTTTAGTGGGCCCTCAATGCCAGAGAGGCCTTGATATTTTGTTGGATAGGGCAAATATTACTACGTGTTTGGTTCACAAGGTATAAAGGACCTTGAAAGTCATTAGGAACTTTAACATACCTATATATAATATGAAAAATAACTGGATAAGAGAAAAAGCACTAAACTGTACTGGGTTGTGTGGGTATGTGTGTATATATATGTGTATCTATATAAGGGCTATTGATTAATAACAGCTCACATGATTAACTCAAAATTAATCATGATTAAAAAATCAACTGCAATTAATTGCACTATTAAATTTATTAAATATAGTTGGATGCTTTTCTATACATTTTTAAATATAGCAATTCAATTACAACACAGAATACAAAGTGTACCGTGCTCACTTCATATTTTTATTACAAATATTTGCACTGTAAAAATGATAAAGAGTATTTTTCAATTCATCTCATACAAGTACTGGAGTGTGAGCTCTTTATCCTTAAAATGCAACTTACAAATGCGGGCTTTTTCTTGCATGCTCGGGCGAGCTGCAGCCAGGCGGGGCGCTGCCCAGGGCGGAACGGGGCTGCCCTCAGCCCGGGCTGGGCGCGGGAGCGGCCAGGCGCGTCACTCCTCCTACACGCGCGCGCGCCGTGGGCGGTGCCTGCCGCGCCCAGCCCCCTCCCCGGGCCGCTCTCTAACGGCCCCGCCTCTCAGCGCCGCGCGCTCCGCTTGCGGAACGAGGCCGGTCCCCTTCCCGCCCCGCTTGGCTCTGGCGGTCCAGCCACTAGGGACCGAGGGGTCCCGTCCCGAGTGCTGCCTCCACCCGAGGTGACTACGTCTCCCAAGCTCCTTTGCGCAAGGTCCGAGCTCGCGAGAACTCTCAGTCGTAGCGGAGATCTGGACCGGCTTCCTTTGAAGCTTTGTTTTTGTTAAGATCTCCATTCCCGCGGAAGTGCTTCGAATCCAGTTTTCCCTTCCCGGCCAAGGGTCATCGTCACGGCAACGTATGGGGCGGAGCCCGAATGCTGGGCCAATCAGAGGAGAGCATCCTATGAAGCTGTCCAATGGGAGCACAGGCGGGGCGCTATTTGAAGCTGAGGGCGGCGCGCCAGGCTAATAGCGTAGTAGCTGCATCAAGAGGCGGAAGGGGTGTCGGGGTCGCTTTCATTCCTCGCTCTTACAGCCCGACCGTCTCCAGTCAAGAGTCGCCGTCCTCATGGCGCTGGTCCGGCGCGCTGCGGTGAGTGCGGGCCTGGGCCTGGGCCTGGGCCGCCGGCGCCGAGCTGCGGGGACGCGCTGGATCGGGCAGGCGGCCGCAGAGAGCGGTGCGGCCGGAGCAAGCCGTGGGGTTGGGGCGGCGGGGAGCGCGCTGGCGCCCTGCCCCTGCCCACGCTGGAGAGCGCCTGTACGGAGACCCCTGCCGTCAGGCTAAGGGCCCGGAGCAGTTAAATGTCCTCTGCGTAGCCCCGGCTGGGGACAGTCGGAGGCTTCGGACCAGGCTGCACGTGAAGCTTCAGCCGGGCCAAGGTCCCCTCTACGCTGGAGGTTTGTACTACCTCCGCTGAGATACGTGCAGCCCGCCTGCCGCACAGCCGGCGTGTCAGCACTCGCCGTCCCCGCGGAAGGGGTTTTCCCGTTGACAGAGTCAGTGCACCCCCTTGGGGAGCTGTAGTCGGTCAGTGGCACAGTGGTGTCTATAGCCGGGGCTAGGTTGGTTTAACTGCATCTGCCTGGGGTGGGAATTTTTTACACCACTGACTAATATAGTTAGTTTTAGGTGTAAATAAGGCCGAACACTGAGTGGTTTCCCTGGGGCAAGTTAGACATTCAGGGCTAAGGTATTGATCCCAGTTGTGTCCGTCAGGCAGGAAACTCAGCAGATGGCGAGAGCAGCCGTTATGAGCATGCTTTCCTGAGGGAGCAGACACAGAGCTGCTTGTGCACGGTACTTGCTCTGGAGATAGCATGGGGATTTTCCAGCAAGTAAAATGCCTATTGTTTGTTCTGTGCTCATGGATATGGGATCTTCTGTATCACTCGGATTAGAATACAGCTGCCTCTGTTGGACTCCTGTTTTCTGATGGAAACAACTTTGCAAAGTCCCAAATGCAGGCAAACTGTTCAGACAAAAGGGATAGCAAAAATTTAACTTCTACCTTGTGACCACTGAAATGTTCTTACAGTAAAGTAAGTTTTCTTAAAGACTTGTGCATATGTAGATGTTAACCTTTGAGGTAATGCTTTTTTACCTTGTTGAAAGCTTTAGTCCTTATGAAAGACTTCTAACTTCACAGTAACAAAGAGAGGGCTGGGTTTCAGTATGGCTTTTAAGGGCTTGGATACGCTATCTAAAACTGAGTAGGGGAGCGCTTCAGTCCTTTGAAGTACTGTGTGTGCCGAAATAACTCTGAAAGGCAACAGTCTTTTACCATGCAGTGTAAAATGCATAAGGCAGTAATTCCCTCTCTTTAAGTGATGACCTAAGAGAAACCAGTTTGGTCACTGGATCATCTCCATGGAAATTCATCTTTAGTTACAATTGGGTGGACACACTAAATAGCTAAGCCACAGGTGAGCATTCTAAAACTGATGCTAAAAAAAGCATGGTTTCTAGTTAGGAAGAACAAGATTTGGGTGACTTCATCTGTAATCTCTCTAAATGTAGTCAATTTTTAATTGCACTCTCCATAATGCATCTAATCCTCCTTTATTCACCTCCCCATCCTGCTGAGCACAACTATGTGCTGTGAAACAAAACATGGTATAGTGGTACTGTGGGTGCCCAGATACCATGGTGGTGGGAGATTTTGAGATTAGTATAATCTGAAAGTAACTAGTTTTACTTGGAGTTGATTTAGTTTAGTTTTTTTAACCTTGTTTACAATTTTCCTTTGCAGATTACTAGAGGGGTGGAGAATGCTATGACAGGACTTAACAACAAAGCCAAAAGTCAAGTGACTAACAAAAGGGCTGCTTTGGAAGAGATTGGAAATAGAGTTACAACCAGAGGAACACATGCAGCCAAGGTAAAGCTGTAGTTCAACTCTAGCTGTCAGAAAAGCAACTTATTAGTTCTGAGTTAACTGTTGTTCTTTCCTCTGGTAGAAAACAGAGAGCTTCAAAGTACCTGTAAAAACTACAAAAGGAGCTACTAAACCAGCAAATGTAACTGCACAACCTAAACCTCCAGCTGCAGTAAATTTAACTCTCAAAGAAGAGACTGTTCCAAAGGTAGGAAATGGCAAATTCCTATGTCACTCTCCAGTTCCTAACCCTTGGTCCTCCACTCTAGCTCTTTCTAGGCCAGAGCTTTAACACTTCAGAAAAAGATCAGATTCATTTTATGATATTATTCCTGGCTTCAGTCTATTAGCTTACAGTCACAACTAACTTGGGATGTGACATAATACTACCCATTAGGACTTGCAAAAACTTGTCAGATCAAGAAATATATCTATAATGGGTAAAGGCCTTATAGGCTAAAATATTGTAGGTATCTTAAATGGCATGTAGAGTCTTAGGTTTTGGTAGCTGCTTTCCTAGTTTGTATTACAGGCAAACGCCCAACTCATGGGGGGGGGGGGGAGGGGGGAGAGAAAGAGTCTTAAATGAGAGAGACTTAATGTATGGGCCTCAGTGACTATAATCTGTCCACTAGATTCTGTCTCCAACCCCCATGGATGTATCCATGAAAGAAGAGGACCTGTGCCAAGCTTTCTCTGATGTGCTGCTTAACAACATAGAGGATATTGATGCTGATGATTGGGAAAACCCTCAACTCTGTAGTGACTATGTAAAAGATATTTATCTGTATCTGAGGCAGCTTGAGGTATGGATGCGTAAGTACTACACATTCAAGTGAAATTAAGCTTTCAGTCTTTCATATTGGTCTCTCTTTAACAGCTGCAGCAATCAGTACGTCCACACTACCTCAATGGGAAGGAGATCAATGGGCGTATGCGTGCAATTCTAGTTGATTGGCTGGTTCAGGTCCACTCAAGATTTCAGCTCTTGCAGGAAACACTGTATATGTGTGTTGCAATTATGGACCGCTTCTTACAAGTAAGTATCTGAAACCTGATCCAAGCACATTGTACAGGCTTATGAGACTCATTAAATTAGTACACTCTAAAATAACTCTTGTCCTCTGTTTATGGTTTTTGGGTTACAGATGTTCCAGGCAAACTTAAAATCTGTTAACCTATAATTTTCTACCTGAGCTAAAAGGTGGACGTGGTAGTCTGACTAACACAAGTCATTCTAGGGACACAGATGCATCCCAAGGCTAAATCTAGAAGTCTTGCATGCTGAAAACCTAAATGGGGAGGGGGAAAAATGTGCTGACTCACTGAATGGAAATTCATGTCTTGTACTTGCTGAAAGGTAATACATCATGAAGATTAAACAGTTCTCTAAACTCATGTTACCTTATACAGATTCACCCAGTATCCCGTAAGAAGCTTCAGCTGGCTGGTGTTACAGCATTGCTTCTTGCCTCAAAGTATGAGGAGATATTCTCTCCTGATATTGCGGATTTTGTTTACATCACTGACAATGCATACTCTAGCTCTCAGATCAGAGAGATGGAAATGATGATTCTTAAGGAGCTGAACTTTGACTTGGGACGCCCTCTGCCACTTCACTTCTTAAGGAGAGCATCAAAAGCTGGTGAGGTAGGTACTTCCTCTAACTATCTTAAAATCCTCCTGCTTATGAGAGACTAGTATTGGAGGCATGGAATGTCAGGACTCCCATTAACACTTCATTTAGGCAGGGTGATTTTTACCTCATGACTTAAAGCACCATGAGCTGAAGGAGACTTTCTGGTGGGTGGGCCGTGTACAGCTGAATGCTTGTTATAGGAAAAGGACTGAGCAGTATTAAGTTACTTTGTGGTCATGGAGTCAAGCAACTCATCAGCGTTTGCTGCAATTCATAACATGATTGTCTCAAATTTTACAAGCTTCATGTTGAGGCTTCTGTTCTGTCTTTTAAAAGATACTAAAACTATTGTTGTGGTGTGGTGTTAACTGAAGGAGACAAGGATATTTGGCTTGCCAGCTCAAAGAATAGAAGCCTTATTGAGTGAAAATTAGCTGTAATACCTAAGCTTACTTTTTTAACTTCTTTAACTAATCCATTGTCTTATTCTAGCTTCTCTTTAGGGAAAAGGTGGGACTCTCCTCATTTGCTAGGTCTGTTATGCTAGTATTATGCTATAGTGCTTGTTGCAAACACTACAGGGAATATAATTCAGCTATTTTTATGGGGTGAGGAGAATATTGACAATTCTGTTAGATTTGGGTTAGACTGAATTTGAGCCCTGTTAACCTGGGAGAACAGGTTAAGGGTCTCTTGGCCTCTCTCTCCTGAAGGAAGAGATCAAATTCCTACTTAACATAGTTTCAAAGATTTGTATGACTGAGAACAGGGTCAACAACTCTTTTCCAAACGGGAACAAGAACATAAAATAGATTAAACCTGGACCACCTTGATGGTGGTACTATAATGAAGTGACAAATTTCATGAACTAACAAGCTGTTGATCTGGCAGGCTGATGCTGAGCAACATACACTAGCAAAGTACCTGATGGAGCTGACACTCATAGACTATGATATGATACATCATCATCCTTCAGAGATAGCAGCTGCTGCCTTATGTTTGTCTCAGAAGGTTCTGGGGCAAGGCAAATGGGTGAGTTGCTTTTTGTGATTTGTTTAAGGCCACAGAATAGATGGCTGTCAAACTTATGAAGTATGTAAGCTGCACTCCAACATAATGAGTAACTGCAAAGTATAGCTGTTAGGATAAGTAATCCAAGAAATGTAGTAATAAATGGAAAGGTTCCAGCTTGTTGCCCTTAAGCACTGGAATGTTCAGGCCTACCAGTAGTTGGAAGGCTAGAACATGTTTTGTCACCGTGCTACTTAGCACACCGGCCCATACTAGCAAGTAACTAAACTTATCAGGAACAACAATGGCAGGAAAAGCCAGCTTGACCATTAGGTAACATGCCTTGAGTATTTTCCCTTGCGGACGATGGACCTTTTAACGCTTCAAAAGACAACATCAAAATGTCCTTGCTTGCTAAATAGCTAAGCCTAATAACCTTTCAGTCAGTGAAATGGTTTTGGTCAGTGTAAAAATTCCACTTCAGAAAGCACTGCATTCTGATATTACAAAGAATAGTGATTGCATGATGGTGAATTCCAACCACAGCTACTGAACTTCTAAACTATCTGCATGAACTTGTTAGCTTGGTTTACAGCTTTTGCAAAAACCAGTTCTTGGACAAGGTGGGGAAAGACCACATCTAGGAAATAGTGTCAAGATACCACAGTAGACAACTTGGAACCAGTTTTACTGAGACAGGCAGTCAAAAGTAGGTGTCTACCTGTGGCCCTCAGGCATTTTAAGTAAACTTTGCACCTAGATTATGAACAAAACATGTTTTGAGTTGTGCCCTGCAATTCTTAAACTGAAGTGTTTGAATCAGCCCTGCTGTTACAGGGGACCTCTCCTCCCAGCCCCTGTGCTGCACAGAGCAGTTAGAAGTGTGCTGAGTAGTTGCTGAGCACCTGTTGAGGATTTTTCTGCCACTGAACCTGCTCAGCACACAAGATTCAACAAAACGTCTTCCCTAAAGTATTTATTGTGGCCTCTTGACGCTCCTGGAATATGGTCATAAGGATTTCATATATTCATGAGTGGGATGCCACTACTCTGGCCTAATAGCAAGGATGATTCTGATCTAAGCTACACACGGTAAAGCTCAAGTTCAACTTGTCCCCTCTAATGTCCAGTCTAAACCAAACTTATTACAGTTGTTACCTGAAGCAAACTGTAGCGCCTCAGGCAGGCATAATGTTTGTTAGATGCTACTCTAGGGTTCTGACCAGTCTTGTATTGCAGGGTGTAAAGCAGCAGTACTACACTGGGTATGCAGAAGACAGTCTTATGCTAATTATGCAACATATGGCCAAGAATGTAGTAAGAGTAAATGAGAACTTAACAAAATACACTGTAAGTATACACTAAGGGCAAATATCTAATTATGCTTCAAATGTTATACACTAATGTCTTTGACAGATGTCTCTTGCTTCAGTTTTACTCTATAAAAGAATATGCTCTTACTACCTCTTTTGACTATTCAGCAACTTCCTGGCCCCTTTTCAAAGTGCTCCAGTGGAAATGAGTAGGTGGCTTAACCACTTACTAGTAAGTAGTCTGATCTCTCTCTAGCATGGCACAAAACAATGTAAACTTGATATTACTTAACAGTCTCTCTAATTCCTACAGGCCATAAGGAACAAGTATGCAAGCAGCAAACTCATGAGGATCAGCACAGTTCCTCAACTGAACTCCAAAACAATCAAAGACCTTGCTTCATCTCTCTTGGGATAATCCTAGGTAGACAATTCCTACTCCATGCACTTTGTCAACATGCCATTGAGGCACAACTGCTGCTTTTGTACATAGCCTTTCAATCTTAGTACAGACCCCTCAGATTCACTCTGAAAGCAAACTTTTAAACTTGCCCTTTAATACTCTTGTATATCTAGAAATAAAGCTCCTTTTTTAAAAAAAACTCTCCCTGGGTATTACTTACACTAAGTGTAGATGGTGCATGTGAGAACTCAACTTTCACAAGCAATGTGAAAAGATCTACTTCATAAACTTTGGGTAGACTTCAGATGATCCTCATAATAGGCCAGCAATCAGAACCTTAACAGTTTAAAACAAAGCTCTAGAGTACATAGTTGACATGAGTCCCATGCCAAGCCCCCTGAACATCTACATTTAGTGAGTAGAGTGCATGATACTCCGGGGCATGATACATGGAGGCCAGCAGAAGTGGGACATGTATAAGCTGAAACTGTAGCTTCTGTCCAGACAGTGCCTCTTGCAGGGCTGAGCTGCCTGGAGAATGGAAAAAATCTACCCCTATAAGTGATGGCTTGATTCAAGTGCATGTAACTGAAGCTTCCTCCTCCTATCAGAAGGAGGAAGGTAGCAGGAAACTGGCAATTGAAGAAAAGGGTTCCCCCTCCAAAAGCTGCTTAGGATGGTTCAACTACTCATTAGTTCATTATGAACTACTTCGAATCTCAATGGAAGACTATTGGGCTAGAGCAGGGGTCAGCAACCTTTCAGAAGTGGTAGGCCAAGTCTTCATTTATTGACCTTAATTTAAAGTTTCACATGCCAGTAATACATTTTAACCTTTTTTGGAAGGTCTCTCTAGAAGTCTATATATAACTAAACTGTCATATGTAAAGTAAACAACATTTTCAAAATATTTAAGAAGCTTCATTTAAAATTAAACAAATGCTGCTCTTACACCACTCAGCCTGGGGTTCAGTTTACCTTGGCCAGCAGCAGGCTGAGCAGGGCCAGCGGCCAGGATCCCAGAGCGGCTCAGCCCACTGCCACTCAGCCTCCTGCCAGTCTGGGGTTCCATCTGCTGGCTCCTGCCAGCCAGGGTCCCAGCTGCTGGCCCTGCTCAGCCTGCTGCTGGTCTGAGATCCTGGCCCTGCCCATATAGTTGGTACCTACCTTCTCCCTGGTTCTAGCCCCTTCTCTTCTTCTCCCTGCACTAAGCTAAGGGTGGGAGTGCACTGAGCACAGGGCTGGGGGGTGAAGGAGCAGGCTGAGGGTTGGGGTATAAGGTCTGGCCAGGAGCTAGAATGAGGGAGGGGGCTCAGGGTTGGCAGGAGGTTTGGGGGTGGAGTGCTTACCTGGGTAGCTCCCATTTGGTATGAGGGGTGCAGTTGGGAATGTGGGGTGGGGTGCAGGAGCTCCTGTTTGGTGCTCAGGGTGGGAATGTGGGGGGGGGGGGGTGTGCAACAGTCAGGGCAGAGGGCTGGGGCATGTGAGGGGGTGCAGGAGTTGGGGGTGTGGGGGGTGCTGGAGTGGGGGCTGGGGGGCTGCTGGGGGCAGGGCAGAGAGCTGGGGTCATGGGGGAGCTCCACAGCCCTGTTCTCCCACCTCTTCTCTGCCTCCTCCCAGGAGCAGCCAGCTTGCTATGGCTCTGCTTCTCCCCCTCCCTGGCAAGGTCCATCAGCGGCAGGGAAGGAGAGGAGGAGGGGCAGGAACCCAGCATGCTGGGGGAAGGGGGAGCTTGCCTGCTCTGCAGTAGCAGCTAGCAGGACCAAGCTTCTTCACCCTGCCGGGGGGGGCAGAGAAGAGCAGGCCAGGGTGGGCAGGATTTTTTTAATGGCATGCTGCTGCCTGCTGGGGTCCTGGCCTGGGTTCAGCAGCAGGCTGAGCAGGGCCAGTGGCTGGGACTCAGCAAGCAGCAGTGTGCCATTAAAAATCAGCTCGTGTCATCTTTGGCATGCTTGCCATAGGTTGCCAACCCCTGGGCTAAAGAAAGCATGTGGTTTAGGTGCTAACCTAGAAGGAGGGAGACCCACCTGATATGCAGGGCCTTGAACTTGGAGCAGCTTCAACAGAAGACAAACCTGCCCCAGAAAATAGACTACTGTAGTAGGTGGAGTGCTCTCCTGCAGTGTAGGGGTCCAAAGTTCTGAAATGGGTTGAGGCCTAAATGGTCAGTAAACTTCATGTCAATTGGGACAGTTCCAGGCTGCTTAAAACTTTTTTTTTGGTGGGGGGGGGGTCAAACTATTCCTCTGAAAAACTTTGCTTATCTTTATAGTTGTACCTCAACAGTCCACAATAGTGTTACTAGGAATCTGCTGCACTGGCCATATGCCTGGGGGATGGTATCTGAGATCATTGCATGCACACTGCCACTCCCTTTAATGGTTTGCCTTCTGTAGAGGCTTATTTACAGCTGGAGTCGGTCAGGTGCCCTTGCAGCGTGTCTCAACAGGGGGTTATTCAGGAATAGCTTCAAGTGGATTCCTTACCTAATCAGAAACACCTGTCATGTAGACAAGTCTCAGGCTAACTGTATTAACAGAAGTTTACAATACTAGCAAACACTATGAAGTACATTAGCAAATCAAATCTCTTAACAAGAATCAAACTTCTTCCTGTTTATGTTGAGATGTAAGCCTTAGCCCAGCTTCTTGAATTCATGGAAGTCTATAGCATATTGACAGGGATTCCACTATGACGAAATTGACTATAATTATATATTTGCATTATTGCATACTCATCTGTTACATGTGAAGGTGCACAATAAAAATGGCAGGTGACCAATTGAGCAGGGACTTAAGCAAACCAGCCTTAATTAAACTACATATTGTACAGCATTCAAACCATTTACCTTTGTGCTATAGGGGTCAGTGTATGGGAAAAAAATGACAGTATGTGCCTCAGCTAGTGCAGTGATGGTGACAATTTTACCACATACTGCCAGGTCCAGTGTGGTTACCTCAACCCACCTCTATTATTTACATCACTGTAGTGACTAGGAGCCCTCTTCAGAAATTCAAAATTCCCTTTAATCAGTGCTATACAAACAGAACAAATTCTAAGGGGAAAGTGCCATATGCTGACCCTTCTAATGTTATCTCAACTCTGAATTTGTAATCCCTTCTTGTATTTCTCCTGCTGCCTATTGACAGATGCTGCTTCCCCAGGGTAAAGTTCCTGTGCTGAGGCAATTCTACTCCCTCTCCCTGCTCCCCTGGACCCTTGTGCTGAGCTGGTTCCAAGGAACACACTCCTAAAACTTGTTCACCAAAACACTATCCTCTCAAAAGTAACTCCTACTCTATCACGTACCTTCTCTTTTAGTACCTTCTCTTTTATCAGCTCTCCCTGACTTTCCTTTGTTGGCTATTCCAAGTTGGCCTTTCATGTTTGACTTTGGATTGTAAACTGCTGCGGCCAAGGACTATGCTTGGTTTTGGCTGTTTCTGTACAGTGCTCAGCCCACCCTTTTAGGCACATAATCTACAACCAGTGCATTGTGGAGGGACAGTGGGGTCGGGCAGTTTAGGCTCATTACAGGTCCCAGATTTAAACTTCAGAAGACTGCCTTTAAAATCCACTTCATATTCGCTTGTGCAGTACTTCCCTCTAGCCTAGCGGTGGGCAACTTGTGGCCCTTCAGGATAATCTGATTGCAGGCCACGAGACTTTTTGCTGATGTTGACCATCCGCAGGACTATCCCCCACAGCTCCCAGCGGCCGTGGTTTGCCATTCCCAGCCAATGGGAGCTGTGGGAAGCAGTGGCTAGCACAGCCCTACAGCCCACTGCTTCCTGCAGCTCCCATTGGCCAGGAACAGCAAACCACAGCTGTGGGGGGCCATGCCTGTGGATGGTCAACATCAGCAAATTGTCTTGCAGCCTGCAATCAATTACCCTGATTAGCTACATGCAGGCCACAGGTTTCCCACCACTGCTCTAACCAATCATACAGGGGCTAAGAAGAATATTCAGTACCTCTCTCTTCAGATCAAAGCCTTTTTATATATTCACAGACCCTATTGCTTCCATCTCTGGAACTCCATACACTGGGAGCTTAGTTATCCATTCTGAGTTCCAGGTACTCATGCATGCAAAACAGAAATATTACAAATTTAACAAACCAACTCAGCTCATTGGTTCCTGAATTTTATTGGTGGAGTGTCAGGAGAAAAAGAATGGATGCTGATGATATCTGCATGGTAAGCAACAGCCATTTTAAATGGTCGGGGAGGCAACTGGGCTTAAAAGCATTAACACTGGTTTTATCATTAAAAAGGAATAGTGCATGTTTGGAAGTACCTGGCACAAAACTTCTAATAAAACTACTTTATGGATAAGTACAGTGAATACTACATTATACATTCATACATGTTTCTACAATATTAGATTTTTTTATATACAGTATATGATCTGCTCCTATACATGTACAGCTCAGGGGAAAGAGTTGCTTCCTGTAACAGGTACAGCATTAAGCATAAATCCAACATGGGCCAGCCATATTCTAATATAAATCATGAAGAAGGCATCATTGTATAGCATACAGTACTTTTCTTTTTTTTTTTCAGTGCCTTTTGGAATCCCTAAACTTTACTGGCAAGCAAACCAGCTCCATTACACATCTGTACAGAACTATTTAAATATACCATCACCAATCCTAAATCTATGTGACATGTAGCAGCATTCTTACCATGTTCCCCAGAGTGATCTGCATTGGAGGAAATGTGCATGTAATGCCATCATTTTTTTTTATTTATAAACTAAAGGCACTTGTTAAATACAACCTTTCCAAAATCCCTAGTCCTAGATTGCAAAGCACGGTGCAGTTTCAGGAAAACTGTAAGGACTACAACACCTCTTCATTCACTCTGCACTAGAAACAGGTTTAAATATAATAAATAATTCGTTTTTCACTGCTTTCATACATGTATCTGAGGCATAGATTTTCATGTTTGCTTTATGGACAGTAAACTGAGTGACTTGTTTTCTTGCTTGTATACAACTTCACTGGTGAAGATGCCGCTAAGAATTATAGGCCTTGGCGAAGAACTGCCATTTGTCCTCGTGCGAGAGTGGGAGGGGAAAGCATCCTATTTTTCAACTATTGGTAATGTTATGCCATCCTTCATTTAACAAAACCTTCTTTGCATTTTGTTATATCTTGGTCACATAGTTGTTGGGGAACAGTCCTTGCTTCCCTCGT